GGTTATTTTATTTTATTTTTGCTATTTAATGTCGCACTCTTTGACGCCTGGGTCCCTGTGGGGTGGGAGGCTGGGAGGCTGAGGCCCCCTTCTAAGGAGGCAGCAAGAGGTGGGCTATTATTAAGAACTTCAAGGTGGTGGCTGCAGAGCATTACACGCCAAGTCAGACTGTACATTCTGCTTGTAAACCTTTATTTCCACTCAGCGTTCTACTATAGATATCTGTGTTTAATAGAAGCATGGTGTTCCATTTATAAATTTACTATAATTTGAATAGAAATTTATTTTATTTTTATTTTTTTAATTAAGATACCATTGATATACACTCTAGTGAAGGTTTCACAAGAAAAACAATGTGGTTATTACATTTACCCTTATTATCGAGTCCCCCCCATACCCTATTGCAGCCACTGTCCATTAGAGTAGTAAGATGCCACAGAGTCCCTATTTGTTTTCTCTGAGCCACACTGTCTTCCCCATGACCCCCCACAGACCATGTGCACGAATCATGATACCCGACAATTCCCTTCTCCTTCCCTCCCCACCCGCCCTCCCACACCCCTCCCCTTTGGTAAACACTAGTCCCTTCTTGGAGTCTGTGAGTCTGCTGCTATTTTGTTCCTATAGTTTTGCTTCATTGTTATACTTCACAAATGAGGAAAATCATTTGGTATTTGTCTTTCTATGCCTGGCTTATTTCACTGAGTATAATACTCTCTAGCTCCATCCATGTTGTTGCAAATGGCAGGATTTTTTTCTTTCTTATGGCTGAAAAGTATTCCGTTGCATATATGCACCACATCTTCTTTATTCATCAACTGATGGACACCTAGGTTGCTTTCATATCTTGGCTATTGTAAATAGTGCAGCGATAAACATAGGGGTGCATATGTATTTTTGAATCTGAGAAGTTGTTTTCTTTGGGCAATTTCCTAGGAGTGGAGTTCCCAGGTCAAATAGTATTTCTATTTTTAGTTTTCTGAGGAACCTCCATATTGCTTTCCATAATGTTTGAACTAGTTTACATTCCCACTAGCAGTGTAGGAGGGTTCCCCTTTCTCCACATCTTCGCCAGCATTCGTTGTTCTTAGTCTTTGCTATGTTGGCCATCCTAACTGGTGTGAGGTGATATCTCATTGTGGTTTTAATTTGCAATTCCCTGATTATTAGAGATGTGGAGCATCTTTTCATGTGCCTGTTGTCCATCTGAATTTCTTGAATAAAAGTTTTTTGAAGGACATTGAAATTACTACCAAATTTTATTATTATAAACAGCCATGTGATAAAAATTGTCCCTTCCTCTCTCCGTCCCTCCCTCCTTCCCCCCTGCCTTCCTTCCTCTCATTCTTCACAATAAATGGGGTTGCAGGGTCAGCAAGCCTACATTTTTAGTGTGTTTTATACATATTTTCCCAATGGGATCATGGGGGTTGTGTATAAAGACAGTTATTATCTGTCAGTTACTGTGCTAGCACTTTACATGTATGAACTCTTTGTTCCCCATTCCAATCCTGTGAACTAGGGGCTACTTTTATTCTCACTTTACATATGGGGGAACTGCGGTGAGGAGCAAATACCTAGGCTTCCCAGGGGCGTACAACTGGCTAGGGACGGAGCTGGGATTTGCACCGAGGAGTTTGATTCTTGAGCCCATGCTCTCATCTCATTTCATCATCACAGGGCTCCATGAGACAAGTATTACGATGTCCATTTTTATGGATAAGGATATTTTGATACACATTAGGAAACTTGTCCAAGACCATAAACTAATAAAGGGGGGGGGCCAGTATTTGAGTCATGGTCTGACTCCTAAACAGGGATTTCTGGTCCTTTGTGAGGACTTCTGAATTCCTTCAGCAGAGAGTCCTCAGATGGGTTCTCCTGTGCTCCTCTTGGTTTCTGCCAGGCTTGGCAGTTTGGGCAAGGAGGTCTATACCTGTCCAGGTCACTACTCTGTCAAGTCCTGCTGTTATTCTGTCACAGCCCAGACCCTGACCTGCCTCCCCTCTCCTCTTTTGCTTCCCAGGACTCTCTCAGTTGGACACAGTTTTGGTCAGAAAACTGCTTGAACTGGTCTTAATAATAGAGATAATTTGTTGGCTCACATAACTGGAAAGTACAGAGAGAAGATGACCTGGGCAGGGTTTGCTTAGGACTTGGGTTCTGTGAATCTCCATGATCCTCTCAGCTCCGCCGTCCTCTGGGTTAGTTTTGGTCTCTGGGCTGGTTTGCCATGTATGGTAGCAAAATGACTGCTAGCAGGAACAAGACTACATACCTGTTCTTCCACAGTCCCCAGCCATCCATCCTGAACTTGGCTCTAAGTGGATCACCTCAGGTCACACTTAACCCAGAAACTGTCACTGTGACAATGGGGATGATCACTGGGGAGACGGGGATCCTCTCCTCCACCTCTCTTGCTTCTATTTTGGTCCCCAGAGATTCTTCTGCAGGAATGTGAAGAGATGCTGATGCTGGCATCAAAGCTATTTTGACACAGGGACAAAATAGATACACTTACGGCCATATTGTGCTGCTCATGTGGTCTGGCCTAAAATCTGCCTTTTTAAGAACAGAGTGGCAAGAAGAGGCCCTCTGCATTTTGCCAGCAGGCTGGCATTCAAGCTGCACATGTCACAGCAATCTTTGTAGCACTGGATGTTCTGCACAGAATGGAAAAGTGCCTTCCCATTAGGAACGTTATAGATCTGTTTAAGAGGGAGCAGTTATAAGTGGGAAGTGTGGTGCGGAAGATGTGCTGGGTGGGTGAACTTGCTGGAATGTGTTCAAGTGAGTACAGTTTTATTCCAAGCTCATCTATATATGTGCCTTCCCCTCCTGCAGTGAAATGCTCTTTCCCATTGTGAGGGGAAAGATTCTTTTTAACTCTCGCCCTGGAGATCGCCTTCCCACTGGAGACCTAAGCTACCGTTGCCACCCCTTGCTCAGCCAGAGGGGCTGCTTCCCCTTGACTCCTTGGGCTGGAGGCTGGACCAGACCCTCTTTGGGGTCATTTTTTGAAAGAGGCAGGAATGCTGAACCTACATGACTGAGGGTTTAGGAAAAGCGGAAGGGATTATACACAAATTGGAGCTTAAAACTAGGTATGAGGTAGGGTTCCTCTTGCCCTGGTCTTCTCCATGGGCCTTGCATGGGCTTCCCTGCCCAGTGACTGCTGCCCCCTTGTGGCAAATTCTCTCTTTCCCCATCGCCTCCGCCAGGGCTTGAGCACGTGCAGGCATTTTGCAGTTCCGGCCCCAGACAGTCTGCTTTCTCCTGTGTCCTCCGTCACTATTTTCTGCCCCAGGAGTAACTTTTCCCTAGATGACTCATAGGGGGAACGAGTCTACTCCTTCCAGGGACTACCCCATCTTCAGGTCCTCAAGGCATCAGATCCCAATAGTCTAACATCCGAAGAATAAAGCATGAGTAGCCTTAGGGATTTGTCCCCTTACACTTCCTGCCACTATTTATCAGTGATAAGAGAACGCAGGAGGAGAGCATGACTTAGCCTAAAAAATGTGCTTGCCAGTGGCAGAATTGTAGGCACCAGTGGTGTGATACGTTGGGCATTTATAGGGGCAGAATTTACACTTGAACAGATAGGTGCTGACTTTAAACAACAGAGGCTGGTTGGCAAAGAGCAATTCCAGACAAACTAGCCTGGCTGTATGGATATGGAGCTCTCAGACATGCCTTACATATGGCTGTGTGGCCAAAAGTGATAGACACTGAACCACGGTGGTGATGCATGCTGCCTGAATCATAGGAGATATATCTACTGTCATTTACTCTACAACCACTGATCAAGCACTTACTCTGTTCCCTGGAAGAGGGCTAGGGGATGAATCAGAGAGGCCCTACTCTCCCGAAACTCCTAGGCTAGTGAGGAAGGGCTGCGTTGCAGCACATTCTTACATGTATAATATGGTTCATGTTATACTGGAGAAATGATTAAAGTAAAACTTGGGGAGTAGCTGCGATAGGTTCCCAGAGAAGCCATCCTTCATTACTGGGAGAGCAGTGGGATGACATTGACCCCAGCTTCTCCAGCCACTGATTGTTTTGGCTCAGTGGTCTCCCTGTTGTCCAGCCAGACTCCAAGAGCAGCCTTGGTCCCAGCCTCAGGCCATTTTAATCAACCAGTTGTGGGCAGTGGTTGTGCAAAGGAGTGGCTGGTGGTGGAGGGGGCTTGTTCCCCTCTAAATCCCCACCAACATCTCCACCAGCCCCCAGGCTGCCCCAAAGATGCTTACCTGCAATGTAGGTAAAAATTGTGTGCTTGCTGTCCAAACACAACTTAAGTGCAGACTTCCACCTTCTTCCCAACAGATTGCTCCCAAGTCCCTCCTAACTGGAGGACTCTGTGGGTAAAATTGCAGTATTTCCAGAATCTCTTGCCTGGCCTTAGTGCATCTCCATATCAAATAGGTGATTACAAGGTTGGCGGTTGGGGAGCAAGGGTATATCTGGATGGGAGAGGTTTGGTGGGGTTCCTTTTTGCAGCGCCGGGTAGTGAGGGACACAGGTGAGCAGAAGTGGACGACTGCCTGTAAGCAATAAACAGGTTTCTCCCACTTTATTTCTTCCTTTGATTAATTTTGGCTTCAAAGTCATTTGCCCCAGGCTGGGAACATATTTTCTCCCCGAGAGTTACAACTCCTACAAGGCCCTCGCATGGCGGACTCCTGAAGTGGACTCCACTGCTGAAAGTAAAATCCTTTCCCTTTTATTTATGTCAGATAAGTTGGAAGCTTTCAAAGGCAGTCTATGGGAACTTAAGGGATAAACAAATGGAAATAAATGTGGGGAAAGAGGAGAATAAAAACAGTCATCCACAGAGCAGAGAATTCAGATAATGGATCCTTAACTCCATCTTCATGTTGGCCGTATGGACCCTGGGAGTCTCTGATGCCCTGTGATCCCTTGACTTAATCTGTTCTCCAAATATAGACATGGGCAGGGCTCATGAGGAGGTGAGCTGTGATGTGGCTTCCCTACTTCCCTTTATTCGCACAGTTCCCACTAGCTGATAAGTCACTCTGGTCTGTGAGTTCTTGAGGTCGGACACACCTGGCCTGTGCCTCAGGTAGGAAGCCACCTTTGTTTGCCAGGACTTCTTTTGGGGAGGGAGGCTTGGCTTGACTGTATTTTAGAAAATGGATCCATTTCTCTGGTACCTGAAGCTTTCTGCCCAGCTGGCTTCCTGCTTCCTCCCTTGTGTTCATATATTCAATTCGAATGCCCTACATGTCTGCAGCTGGTGACAGGGAGGCCACAGCCTTTGCACCTCTTCTTTTCCTACCTCTCCCCTTTGCAGGGAAGAGGCTTATATTTCTGTGATTTGATGTTCATTGCTTTGCCCTACGACTTCGTCTTCTGTGCAAATGCTGTACTGGCAGGGAGAGAACATATTAAAATGTGTGGATCTGAATGAACTTCTAGGACTTCAGAACTGGAAGCAACTCAAGTGTTATCTACTTTGCCTACCTCAATTTGCAGATGAGAAAACTGAAATCTTTAGAGGTAGAAGGACCCACCCAAGGTCACACGGATTATTAATGATAGAATCAGGATAGAATGAGGACTGAAAGGCTCAGTAACTTTCCAAAAGTCTTCAGATTGCTCTCTGGAGAGCCCCGGGAGTTTCGGGAGAAACGTGTTCATGGCTGTCTGGGTAGAGAGCAGCGCATCCTCCCTCCTCAACACAGGAGCTTTTATCTGTTCTATGCACTGGGCTTCTGGTAAGAGTTTGCTTCAACAGAGTATTTCACAACCAAAAAAGATATTTTAAAACTGATGAATGGTTTTGTGGACGTTTAGGAGGTGATTTAAGGACACTAGATGGGTACTTCTCTTAAAAGCTTAAAACTTCCTTTAGAAAGAGGACCAAAAAATGTATTGTTCCTTGAGAAAGAAGGCTCAGAAATACACTTTAATGCAATGTGTTGCTATTATTTTATTTCCTTCACTCCATAGATTCTAAAAAGGTTAAATAAGAATCAGGAAAAACATAGGAGGGGAAATAACAGAGAGAGGGACATCTAGGAAGAGGTTTGCCTCCTTCCATTGGTTTAGTACTGGCCCTCCCCTGAATCTGTAAGACCAACCTGGCTCTCCCATCTGAATGCAAGACATGGTTAAGCATAGAGAAGGCTAAAGAGAGGGCAGAGGTAGTTGTAGGTAGAGTTGAGGCAGTTGGAGGGCTGACCAATGGCTTTTGCTCTGTAGTCCATCTTATTCCATGCTCAGATCAAACCTTGTAGTTATAGAAGATTGACAGTACTGTGAAACTGCCCTCATAAAAGCAAAGGAAGGGATATCTGGCTGCCAAACCGACAGAGATGCAAGAGATAGCTCAAGAACTGTTCTCATATCCTTGAAGAGAGTGACTTGAATCTGAGTTACTAAAATCACATTTCATTCCTTCTGATTTTTCAACTAGATCAAACCATGGCTGTTGTCCTGGAAAACATATGGAATGATACTGATTGGTGGATGTTCATTGAGGATGAATTTCAAAATTTCACTGGCACACCACCCACAGAAAAATATTATAGTCCCTGTAGGCTGGACACTGAGACACTCAACAAGGATGCTGTGGTTGTCATCTATTCCCTGGTGTTCCTGCTGAGCCTGCTGGGAAACTCCCTGGTGATGCTGGTCATCTTATACAACCGGGTCAGCCGTTCTGTCACCGATATCTACCTGTTGAACCTGGCCATAGCCGACCTGCTCTTTGCCCTGACCCTGCCTATCTGGGCTGCCTCCAAGGCGAAGGGCTGGACCTTCGGCACACTCCTGTGCAAGGTGGTTTCGCTCTTGAAGGAAATCAACTTTTACAGTGGTATTCTATTACTGGCTTGCATCAGCATAGACCGCTACCTGGCCATTGTCCATGCCACACGCACATTGACCCAGAAGCGACACTGGGTCAAGTTCATATGCTTAGGCATCTGGGTCCTGTCCCTGATCCTGTCCCTGCCCGTCTTCATTGTACGTGAGGCCTACAAACCACCCTATTCCAGCCCAGTCTGCTATGAACACATGGGTGCCAATACAACAAAATGGCGGATGGTGATGCGGATCCTGCCCCAGACCTTTGGCTTCCTCCTGCCACTGCTGGTCATGCTCTTCTGCTATGGACTCACCCTGCGCACGCTGTTTGAGGCCCACATGGGGCAGAAGCACCGGGCCATGCGGGTCATCTTTGCTGTTGTGCTCGTCTTCCTGCTCTGCTGGCTGCCCTACAACCTGGTCCTGGTCGCAGACACCCTCATGAGGATCCGGGTGATCAAGGAGACCTGCGAGCGCCGCAATGACATTGGCCGGGCCCTGGACGCCACCGAGATTCTGGGGTTCTTCCACAGCTGCCTCAACCCCCTCATTTATGCCTTCATTGGCCAGAAGTTTCGCCATGGACTCCTTAAGATCATGGCCATCCATGGCCTGGTCAGCAAGGAGTACTTGGCCAAGGACAGCAGGCCTTCCTTTATTGGCTCTTCTTCAGGGAACACTTCTACTACAATCTGAGCCCCCACCCCTGTTGCAGCCTCTCAGGGCTCCTCCTGTCCCCCCAGCATCCCATTCCAAGCCTTACATCCACTGGTTGCTCCCAGTCTCTGTGTCAAGGCCATGCCTCATTGGGGTTACAGGAATTGCTGGGGCCACATCCTTCCTAGGTCCCCACTGTGGGGTTTGGGAAGCCTGCCATGACGTCCTACCCCTTACCGTAATTACTATGTCAACTGCTGGCGCTCTGTCCATCCTACCACTGAGCCCATAGCACTCAGTTTCCTGGACATCTGAAAGGCATCCTTGGAAGTGACTGCAGAAAGTTCTCACCACTGGGAGCCGTCAGTGGCACACGTTCATCGGTTCTGCAACTCTCCCTTTCCTTGCTTGCCAGCAAAGTCCACCTCCCTAGAGAGAGACTGAAGGTGACAGACACTTTCTAAGACTCGCTGAAGCTAGGAGTGGGCGCATCATCCACTTCTGACTAATAAGACTTAAGGGCAATAGTGTGCTGGTATGCCACTCTCCGGGGAGAAGAGCCCTGATTTGTAATGTTTACCAAGTGCCCTGGTGTAAACACTCCCTCTATGATTTCAAGGGTGGCAGTGTTTAGCAACCAGCTCACAAATTCTAGAAAATGTACTAATCTGCTTTCACAAACAAGTACAAGGTGGCTTTAGCATACCATTGCTTAAGAGGAAGTCTGCTAGGGCCAGGGGACTCCTGGGAAATATTCCTGATTAAAAAAGAGAGAGATACACATACATCCTTTCTTCTTGCCTTTGAATATGGTCATAGGATATGATGTGTGGAGCTGAGGCAGACACTTTGTGACAATGAGGCAAAAAGTATGCCCAACACACTTAGGCTGATGGAGCCAAAGGATAAGAAGAACCTGAGCATAAAGAGCCCAGAAATAAACCTAAGCGTAAATGGTCAAATGACTTTCAACAAAGGTGCAGACTATTCAATGGGGAAAGGATAGTCCTTCAACAAATGGTGCTGGGAAAACTAGTTATCTACATGCCCAGAAAAGGAATTGGTCTTTCCCTCTTTCCCTTACACCTTATACAAAAATTAACTGAAAATGGATCAAAGACCTAAATTTAAGAGCTAAAACGATACAATTCTTAGAAGAAAACATAACGGAAAAACTTAATTTGGTTTGAGGTTGGAACTGGAGTGAGGTTAAGAAATGGAATTTAGATCAAGGTTGAGATTGTGATCAGGTATTGAAGTTGGAGCCTGAGGTGAGGCGGAGGGGAAGCAAGGATTGGGTGGCAGCTTGGGATAAGGTGGAAGGTCAGAGAACGATGAACGTCAGGAATAGGGAGAGACCCAGAAGTAGGGAGTGGCCGGGGATGGGGTTAGTGAGATTCAGGGAGATGCTAGATGGGGTTGGGACCAAGTATGGAGTGCAGTTCAGGAATGGGATGAGTGTGGGGGATGTGGGGAGTCTAAGGGAGGCGTGGCAGAAATGGAGTGAATATTAGGTATATATTAATGACTACAAGAGGGGCATTGTCTAAAATGCTATTCCAGGGACCAGGATGGAGACACCTTGGCCTGTTCAGCTTGAGGCTTTCCAAGTAGGTTGATGAGGAAGGAGTTAGGGGTTCAAGCCCTAAGAGATAGATGTGATACAGGAGAGAAGACAGAAGAATTCAGAAAGAATCCAGGGGGGAGGCTGAGAACTGGGCCTGGTAACCTCTGTTTCCTCTCCCTTCCTCCCTATTGCATACCCTGATGCCCACCTTTCCTCACCTTCTGCTGCCTGTGCCCAAAGATAAATCTGTCAAGAACTTCAGTAAGTAAATAAAGATCCATATTTAGCCTGGGGAAATACAAATAACTAATGCACATCTGAAAAGATGCTTGGCCTCCCTAGTAACCTGGGAGCTAGGAATCCAACAGCAATAAAATAAATTGTAAGTGTTTAAACAAGGGAGGGATATAGTCAGAACTCTCTTCAAACAAGTGTAACATTGCTTGATTAGATTATTAATGCAGTGTATCATTCTCTGGGTAGAGTTCAAGACATAAATGATTTGGATTTCAGATCTGTAACAATATCAGGCTGTTGGCACTGAAATAACATGGTGTTATCGATATATCAAAAACTGGTGTTTTAATCACTAGGTAGGGTAAGGATTAGCTAGCTATCTGGTGAAGGGCAGGGAGATAGTTCACCTCAGGGAGGAGCTCATCGTCCAGGAAGGAGCTGGAATCAGAGATGGGGAGCATCTTAGAAGGGCACTGGGGCATTAGAGATGGGAGAGAATCAGGGATGGGCTTTGAGTGAGGGATGGGGTGACCATCAGAATAGGGTGGGGACAGGGTTTGGGATATGAATGTATGTTTGGCACAGTGCTTGCTGATTTTTAAGTTTTCAAAATTTGTTTTGTGGGCTTGGTTAAAATGTTCCAGCCTTCAAGTAATTATGTTGAAATGTTTCTCCTATGCTAGTTACTCTTCAGACCAACCACAGCTCCCTCACTATCGCTTCCCTCCCATCCAGTGGTCCATTCTTATTAGTTCCAGCAAAAATATTAATTGCTAATCTGGATTTTATTTCATAGGGTTTAAGATTGTCTCTTCTCAGAAACTTAATTTAGTTCGGGTCTTTCAGAGGCTGACAAGTCTCATAGATGCAGATGAAATAAAATGAGCCATCTCCTCTCGGGCCTGAGGGTCTTCCCAGAGATAACCACTAGCCAAGAAATCACGATGGAGTACAGCATTTTGCTGTTTCCAAACAGAGGTTGGAGGGACCAAAGATCTCTGGGTTTGACCCAGAAAGGCACAAGTGGCTAACAGCTATGCTGTCACCACCCCACTATTGCTTTCATTCATCCTGGCATTCTGTTTGTAAACTCAAGATCCTTCTTCCAACCTTGAGGGTAGAAATGAATTAAAGAATTAAAAAAATAAAAAATAAGCAGAAAATGTTAACAGGCTTTCTGAAATTAGTTCTTTTTTAAATCAAAGTATTTCATGTACATTATTTTTAAAAGATGAAATAACTTTATAAAGCTTATAATGAAAACCAGCAGCAGCCCTCCTGTCCCACTCCTGCAGGCAAAGGCAGGAACTTCCAGCGCTCATAGCTGTTTCAGCTTGTAGTGATGTGCGTATTTCTGAATATAATGCTTATTCAGCTAGCTCTTGATTTTCTTCTTCCAGTTTTAGATCTCATCTATGGACTTCGTATTTTGGCTTTCAAGGACTTTGTGGTTAGAGCAACGTTCAGTGTTTTTGTTATACAACTATGTAAAAAATTGTTCACCATTGTGTTCAATGTTTATATTTCTTTTCTTTGTACAACTTCTGTTTTTCCTGGAATTAATGACAGGATTTTCCATATACTTTTCATTATACTGGTCCCAAATGTCTTCTATGATACATACCCATTCATCACATAATCTGGAATTTTTTTTCTTTCTTGGAGACATTTCTCCTGGAGGCCTTCATTGTCCTGTTCCAGTCTGTATTGGTTACTTTCTAGGCCTGCTCCTTTTTCTAAATTGCTTTAACTACATTTCCAGATAAATTTTAGACTCTGATTGCCAATTTCTACAGAATATCCTACTGAGATTTTGTTTTGGATTATGCTGAAATTGTAGACCAGTTTGGAGAAAATCGACATCTTAACAACATTGAGTTTTCTGATCCATAGCATGGTTTCTTTCTACAGTAATTTATGTCTTTTCTAATTTATCTTGGCAATGTTTCATAGTTTTCAGTACATATATCCTGTACCTATTTTTTAAAATTTATCCCCAAATATTTTATGGTTATTAGGACATTATTATAAATGACAATAATTAAAAATTTTTTTCCAGTTTTTTCTCAGTATAAAATAGAAATATAATTGAATTATGTATATTGACCTTGCATTCTGGGACCAGTAACCTCACCTATTAGTTCTAGTAATTAAAGATTCTTTTGGATTTTATATGTATATAATCATGTCATCTGATAATAAAGACAATTTTATTTCTTCCTTTTCTTTGTGCTTTTTATTTATATATTTTTTGCCTTATTTCACTGGCTCGGATCCCTAGTGTGATGCTGAATAGAAATTGTGGGCATCCTTGTCTTATTCCTAGTCTTATGTGTAAATCATTCAGTCTTCCTCTGTTAAATATGATATTAGCTAAGAATTTTTCACAGAGGCCCTTTGTTAGTTTGAGTAAGTTCTTTTCACAGCGACCATTAAATCTTTCTCTTTCTTCAAGGGCATGGGCTCTGGAGCCAGACTACTGTTGGTTACAGGTTTTGTGACTAAGGGCAGATTACTTAATCTCTCTCTCTTACCGTGTAAAATGTGGATAATAATAATGCTCAGATACCTCCTTTGAGAGTTGAATTAAATGAGTACACATACATACTTGTGTATATACATATGACATTTAGAAGAATGCCTACAATATAATAGTGCTATATAAATGTTATCTGTCATTATTATTTTGGTTTCCTCTCTTATTTTGCTGTATTGGATTTTGCTGAGGAAGGATATATAGGAGATAACCTTTCAGAGACCTTGAATTTCCAAAAAGACCTTTATTCTACTCTCACATTTGATTGGTATTTTGGCTGAGTATTGAATTCTGGGTTGGAATTCATTTCCCTTCAGAATTTTGCAGGCACTTCTTAATTTCTTCTAGTTGCTCGGATTGCTATTGGGACTTCTGATATTCTTCTAATTCTTGATCTATTGGATATGATTGAATTTTCTCTGAAAAACTTTTAGGATATTCTCTTTGTCTTTTTAGTTGTAAAATTCATGATTATGGGTCTTGGTGTGTGTCCTTTTCTCAAATTTTTCTGGGTACCTGGTGAATCCTTTTAATCTGGAAACTCAGGTTCTGTGAATTTTTCTTCTATTATTTCTTTGATCCTTTTTACCTTTCATTTTCCTTAGTCTCTGTTTTCTAGGATTCCTTTTATTTGGGTGTTGAATCCCCAATGATTCTCTAATATTTTTATTCCTTTCTGATGATTTTTCAGTATCTTCATCTTCCACTTTCCATGAAGCTGCCCTTAAGTTTACTTCCAGCTTTCGAACACATTAAAATTTTTTGCTATCATATTTTACATTTCTAATAGGCTTTATTCTGTCCCCCAGTGTTCCCTTTTATAGCACCTCTTTCTTGCCTCAGGGATACAGTATTTGTTCTTATTTCTCTGCAGATGAAGTTTTTGTGAAGATTTCTTTAGCTCCCTTCATTGTTTCTGTGTATTTTCTTCTAGTCTGATAACTCAGTTACCACTTTTTGTCTGCTTTTGGAGTCCTGTTAAGAAAAGTCCTTATCTGTTATTTTCTTTCACATATTCTTTGTTTTTGTACTTTGTGGGATTATGTCTTTAAGAAAAATCCCTTCAGTGTCATTTCTTGTGGGTTTTTGAGAGAGAAGAGGTAAGAACATTCCTCTAAATCCTCCATTTTTGATACAAAATTCTCCTGGGTTTAAAAAACCTACTTATGAATTCCTCAGGTATAAACTCTCTCATTTGGTATATTGGCTGGCAGTTGATTATAGTGGTTGTTAGGTCTTTATAATATTTGAGAGCTCATCTGTTGAAGAGCATTTTTTCAATGGAAGTTTTGTAGGTGTCCTGAATTATGAAGAAATCTACCCAGAGGCAGTGTCATGGCTGTCTTTGCTGGGGCCCTACTGGGCCACATGGTTCAGAGCACTTTTTTGTTATTGTTTTTATTTCTTGGTCCTAGGTTTCCACACCATTCCAAAGGGCAGATTTCAGTTCTCAGGCTTGGTATTCTGGACTTTCCCTCAGGTGGCCCCTTTCCCCCCATAGTTTAGGGAAGGCAGCTCACACTGAGGTCATGACTCAGAGCCAGCAGGTGTTTTTCTATTCCTAGACAAGGGTGGGTCAGCTCTTCCCTGGTTCTTGCCTTTTGCCAGGAATCCAGTTCCGGTCCCCTGCTGTGCATGGGGGCTGTAGATGCTCTGGTGTTACCATTCCCATTCTGAAGGCACAAAACTAGTTTTAGTATCATTCTGGGTTCCTGTGGCTTCAACTCCCACTCACTATTAAGTCCATACATCTCTATGTTCTCTTTTACTTTCTGGCCCTTAGCAATCTCTCTCTCTCTCTCTCTCTCTTTTGCTTTTGGCCTCAGATATTTACTTAAAAATTAAAAAATATATGTTATTGATAATTTTTTAAAATTTTAATTAATTAATTAATTGACTGATTGATTGATTGATTGATTTTGGTACAATTACATGAGCAACTGTCTTGCCAATGGGTTTCAGCCTCGGGCAAGTTTGCTATGGATTCAGTGTGACCAAAGACAATGACAGCAAAACGTTCTTGAGGTGAAAGGGTTATACTCAACTTTACTTCCAGGTGGCAGATCGGTCACTAAAATCCCATTCATTCAGAGCGAGTCTGCATGCAGCAAGCTGGTCTCTGCCTCTGGGCCCCTCTGTCTGCACAGCCGTCCTCTGGGCCCCTCTGTCCGAACACCTATCCCCTGGGCCCCTCTGTCCCTGGCACTGCCACCACTCCAGCCTCTGCTCTGCTCTCCTGCAGCATTGTATCCCTGTCACCGTGTTGTGTGCAGAGCCTGGGGTGCAGCTCTTTTTATACAGTCAACAGCCATGTATTGCCCACAGGTGTGCAGTGAGCTAGTCAACCAGGGCCAGGTGAGAATCCTGGCTACAGGAACTCTCATTTTATCCACAGCAACATTGTGGTTACTAGATTCCCCCCATTATTGAGTCCCCACCACCTACCCCATTACAGTCACTGTCCATCAATGTAGTAAGATGCTACAGAGTCACTATTTGTCTTCTCTGTGCTATATATACTGCCTTCCCCGTGCCCCCCCTACATTATGTGTGCTAATTGTAATTATCATTTCTATGTAGAGTATGTGTGTGTGTTTGCTTCCCATGCTTTGTCAGTCCACCATCATGACAGGATATCAATAAAAAGTCAAGTAGCATATAAAATAAATATAGTTTCTCTTCCTGTTCTTTATTTCCTGTACTTGAATATGAGCATTTCTAAAACTTTCTCCCAGTGAATTTTAAATGTCATCCCGAAGGACTCATTGACCAGATTTCTAGTGAACTAATACTGTGTATATGTGTATGTTGCATAGTCTGTGTACATCTGTATGTGTGTTGTGGGAGCAAATGACCTCATGTTACCCCAGAGTTATGACCCTCTTTTTTGCCAGATTCACATCAGGGTATGGGAGGGGTAAGATATAGAAGGTAAGCAGGGAGGTGCTTCTGAAGAAATCCAGTCATTTCCGACATGGGAAGAAATTGTATTGCTCAACTGAAATGTATGAGGCCACATCCGTACCTCTCTTGGTTCCCATATTGTAAACAACAGGCTGTCTTCCTGAAAGATCTGACTTTGTTCCAATTTTGAAAATGTTGAGGGTGGAGGGACACTAAGCAAGCAAGGCCTAAGGGCCATGCAGTGCAGGGCTCTACAATCTGCCAGAGTCCTTGCGTGTTCCACTTGGCTGGAATCCTGATGATACTCAGCACTTACCGCCCCTGAGCACATTTGCCCTAGAATTTTAGAAAACGTGTAATAAATAAGAATCAAATAACCAGTTACATAATTATGTATCAAATGTTTGCTATGCACCCAACTTTGTGTTAGACCCTAAAAAAAAGGGCAGATACTGTAGAAATGAAATTTAGGTGGACAAAGGAAACTTGAGAGTGAAGGGTTTGTGAGGAGCATATGAAATGTCCTGTAACACCAACGTGACTGGAACAAAGATATCTCTCTGGTGGTCTTAGTGTACCGCAGCTGATCTGAAGATTTGGAAAATGCTTCTAGTTCAAAGAAAGAGAAAGATTTAGTGAATAGTCACTTAAGCTTTCTGAACCTCAGTTTCCTCTTCTGTGCAATGAGGTTTGATTAGGTAAACACTCTTCCAGTTCTGAGAAGCTCTAAATCTAAGAGTCTACTGAGAAGTACATTTACATCTGTATTTGTAGAGATGTAGGACTCCACATGAATTTGATATGAAACTTCTGTCTTTGTCCAGATCATGATCATAAGCAGCTAGATGCTTCATAGAATGCCACTTCTTAGTACATGATTTCTGGGCGGCTGTTGACCAGGACTGACCCAAGGAGTTCCCAGGAGGCTCCCTCCTCTTGCCCCGCTGGCCTCTCCTTCCTTTGCTCTCCCCAAGCTCCAAGACCTTCCTCCTTCATCTGTCAGCAGTTCATTTATTTGGGGTAGGCAGGCCCCGTGGAAAATGGGCAAATGTCCCTGGGTGAGGGGAATCCTTTTCTCTCAGTCACTAACCCCAAAATGAGAAGGGGTTTCTGAACTTGTTCTCTTGCATAGAGGAGCCTCTCTTTCTGAGACTTCGAGGTCACGAGCAAACTGACCTGCCACAGTCCAGCACGTCAGCTTAGCCTCTCAGTGTGTATCTGCTGATGAGTGAGGCCCTAACAGGTGCCAGGCACTGCATAAAGCAGTCTTTTTTACATGAATTATTTCACTTGATGCTTACCAAGACCTTATGGCAGGATTATTTATTACCACCATTCTTATGGATGAGGAAAATAAGACCCAAGGAGATTAAGTACTGCCCCCAAGGTGATGCAGCTGCAGATAAGTGGCAAAACTAGAGTTTAAATCAAGGGCTAACTTTTTGCAGAGCCTGAGCTCTCAGCTGCTTGTGGAGAAACACTGCAGTGGAGTGAAAACCTCAGCGGGGCTTGGAGTCAGGCTGGGTCTTGGTCTAATCCTGCCTTGTATGACCTTGAGCAAGTAACTTAACTAACTCCCTGTCTCTTTGAAGGGATGGTAGCATCGGAAGCTTGTCAAGGTTGAAAGTAATGTGTGCCAGGCTCTTGGAATAGACTAGGGCCTTGATAATAGCAGACAATATCATAGCAGAGAATCCCAGAAGGGTGAGCCAGTTGAGGAAGTGACAAGTAACCCCAAATCTTCTAGCTTCAATGGAAGTGCTTCTTGAATGATGTCACG